CTTCGTTAACCAGAAACATTTATATTTTAAAGAACAAACCTATCATTATCTGTTGTTGTTATTGTTGAAGATAATTGTGGAAATTTAATATTTGATAAATGATTTATTGTATCATCTTTTAATTGACAATTATAAAGTTTAAATATTTCAATAAATTCATTATATCGTTCAGTTAAAGACGACAATGTTTCATACTCTTTTTTAAGTTCAATTTCAAGCTAAATGAAAAAAAAAAACAAAACATTTTTGTTTGTTTGTTTTAAATAATAAAATTCAACTTTTTTATGTTCTTCTTTTAATTGTTGATCACTTGAAGATGATTCTAATTGAGTAAGTTTATTTTCTGCTTCTGTAATACGTTCTCGAATCTGACTAAGTTCTTCTTCATTTGCTGTAAATGCAAGAAGAGCATTTGTATCTGTTGATGTGAGATCAAAATTATTTGGTAATGTTGTCGATTGATTAGGACGGAGACGTTGAGCTTTTTCAAAAAAATTTTTTAATGCTACTGGATCAACCATTAATGATCTTTTCAAAAAACCAAAAAAAAAAAATAATTTAATTAAGAAAATCTTGTTTTCATACCGTGCAACATGACTTTTAGCAGGTTTTGGTAATCGTGGAAATGATTCACTACGTTTTTTATATACAGACCAATGATCAGTTAATATTTGAGAAATTTCTTTCTGAAGACAACAACAAAAAAAAAGAAAAACAATATCTATGTATATATCAATGAAAATTTCAAATATAAAATTCAACAAACATTTAGTTGATCTCTATGATCTAATTGTTTTTGTTGTACTTCACAGATTGTATAATTTCTTTGAACTGTTTTATATGTATTTGATAATGATTGATGAGTTACACAATATAATTCACATTCGATTTTTGACTATAAAAAGGTAAAATAAAAATAAAAGAGAAAAAGAATTATATTTTGTTCTTCTTTTTTCGATAATCATATATTAAAAATTTGAATTAATAGTCGATATAATTTAGATCAATTTTGTTATTTGTATACTAACTATACAAACAAAAATGTTTTCTTTTCTTTTTGCTTTTGTTGAACTTGAAAGACTTTACTTTCGTGAATAGCAAAGAATTTATTTGTCTATATAGTCCTTTACAAATTCTTTTTCATGTAAAAACTTTAAAACATAGAAACAATGATTGTGTAAGAATGTATTCTTTCATTCTTTTATTAATTACATCTGGTTATACTTATATACTAAATGTCATCTTATCGAACATCATTTCTGTCGAGAATATTGTTTCTATTGAAAGCATCATGTCAAATTTGTTTCAAATCAATCGAAATTTCTCTCTCTATATTATAAATATATATATATATCTTAACAAACCAATTCGCCTCGAATTTGTAATAAACCATTTTTATTTGCACATGATAAATGAAATGCATTTGGACATAAACCAGCATCACATGAAACAGCTACACCTGATCGTGATTCACATACATGACATGACTATAATAAATCAAATTTAAACATTGATCAAACAACAAAATACAAATTGAAACCTTATTTCCAAATTTTTGTGATGGAATATTTGATAAATCTACAGGTGTATAATAAAGTTCATCATAATATAAAACTCCTGGAACACCAAGTGCACAAACAACATGAACCCAAGTTGATTCTAATGTTGGCCAAAATGCCTGACAACGATCTTTCGTTGGACATAAAGAACATGTCTAAGAATGTTTTAATATGAATAAAAAAAAAAAACAAAAACTTCAATAATATTATTCTTACTGGATCATCAACATGTGCTAAACAAGGTGTACAAAACCAATATTCCGATGGTGATGATGAATCTGATGATTTATCATCTAATGTATCTGCATTATAACAACCTAAATATTTCTTTGAATTAATAAAACCCCAAAAAAAAACAAAACAACTAATAAAAATATTTCTTTTATTTACTTTCATGAACAATAACTCCACAACGATCACAATAAACAATTGGATCATTATCGTCTGTACTAAATATTATAAAGAACACAACAAATTTATTTCTTATTAAAAAAAAATATATATATATTTAATTTGATTCGCTTTAGTTTTTTACCTTCCACTCAATAAGCAAATCGAACATATTTTTGTTTCTGCTATTAACTATTAATTAAACAAGAGACGAATAAACAAATATTGATATATATATATATATACATAAACATATAAAACATACCGGCTTTGTTATTGAATCATCAGTTGGATTATTCTCTTCACCGGACATTTTCTATTTTTTTATTTATTTTATATCTTTCTTTTTTTTCTTTTTTTTGATATATTCTGCAAAAAGAGAAAATTTCTTTTTATTGTACTTTGGCTTCATAATTAAATGTGTGTGCGTGTGCTGTATTTTTTGATTGCAAAAAAAAACAGAGAAAGAAGCGAGATATAAAATACATGAGAGAGAGAGAGCAGAAAAAATGTGAGAAAGACACACACACACACACACTCGAATTTGTGTCTAAGGCATACAAGATATGATATAAATCCACGAGAAAGATAATGAGAAGAAAAGAAGAAAAAAAGACCTTACATTCTGAAATTCAAAATGTAGAATAATAAGATTTGTAATCTATGACATGTCTGTTATATTATTATTATTATTCAAATGAGAAGAAGATAAACAAAAGTTCATTTTTTTTTCACACATATAACGAGACTTCGATGCAAAACATTTTTTTTTTTGCTTTGTATTTTTTTTTTGTCTCACTGTTTTGCCAGCGCGTCTCAATATCCGTAGCACCAAGTGACTAAAGTTGTATATATATATATAGTAGCATTAGAATAATACAAAAAAAGAAATTAGAAGAAAAAAAAAAAAAAAACGAAAGGCTCTATTGCACAACAACACGAGAGAAAGAGAGAGAGAGAGAAAAAAAAGCACTCTAGAGCACACGCACACAAAAAAAAAAAAAAAAAAAAAAAACAAAATTTGTTTTTTTTATTTGTTTTGTTTTCATTTCGAAAGTTTACTGATGACACGAATCAATGCAGCATTTTCTTCTTTCAAACGTGTATTGTCTGCTTTGATTGAGTCCATTTTCTAAATAATTATAACAAAATAAAAACGACAAATTATTTATCAAATATTAAAAATATTTTTTTTTTGTTATTGTTTTAATTATAAATTACTTTTAATTCTTCTTCTAATTCCGATATCTTTCGTTCATATGCTCGTTTTTCCTATTAAATAAAAAATAAATTTAATTATTCAATAAATAATGTTTTAATGAATACAATGTAAAATTCAAAGTTTGTTCCCACTCATTTGTAGTTCTATTAGAGTTGTTGACTAATGAGAGTGTCTACATATATTAGAAATCGATTGAAACAATTTATCTCAAGTTTTCTAGATTGAATAGGTACTTCATTAACTATCTCTTTGAATACAATCATTTTGAATTCTAATTCTTCGAAACCATTTGAATTTATTGTCTTTTGTTTTTTTTTTTCAAAATTCAAATAATTTCCCATGTTGCACATTTATTCGCACAATCATCAATATACCAATCCATTACTCATAAGAACTGATGGTACATTAACAATAGATTGTCATTCAGAAAATAACTATTAATATATCACAATAGAATAATAGTCAAAGAATCGGAAACCATTTTAATATCAAACTACTACCAAATGACTTAATTAAACTCAAAGATACTGTTTTAAATTGAAAAGAAATCAATATTTTGAAATAATATATATAAAAGTATCTTACTCGTTTATCAAGTGATGATTCAATATATTGTGACGTTTTCTATAAAAAGAAAAAAAAAAGGAGATTTATTAATGAAGCAAAAAAAAAACACCTACGAGCTTTTCGATCATTTGATCTCGTTCCGCAATATCTCGTTCTAATCGATCTACTTTTTGTGCTAATTCATCAGCTTTACGTTTAGCATCTTCATATAACTATTCAATAAGAAAAACAAAATAAAAAGAAAACATAAAATCTAATTATCAAATAATAAATACTCGTTTGATGGCTACTGTATCGCTATTTGGTGTTGACATTCCAGTTGATAAAGCAGTATTTTCTTTTGAATCTTTTTTTAATGCAAATGGTGTTGACGACGCCATACCATTCATAACAGTATTTGGATTTATTGTTGATGATGTTGGTGTTGTTGTTGTTGTTGTTGTTGTCGGTAAAGAAGTTGCAGCTGTTAAAGATTTTCTTGATGGATCTTGACTTTGTGAACGATTAGTTCGTGATGATGGAGATGTTGGAGATAGATTTGTTAATGATTCTTTCGTTGTTGATGATGATGATGACGATGGAATATTTTCAAATCGTGATATAAGACCACGTGAACCAAGTGCAACACTATTTGATGTTGATTGTTGAGCGTTATCTTGTAGTTTTTGATCGTCTGATCGATGAGATTCTTCAATAGATGTTTGTTGATATGATGTTTTGGGAACTAAATCATTTGTATCATCACGAATTTCTACTTCTTTTGTTTCCTTTGAAAAAAAAAAACAAAAAATTTTTTTTTTTCAAGAAAAAAAACAAAAAAATAATAATGTGTCAAAACATACGTCGTTCCAAATAATTCTTCCTGTATTTTTCCGTTGATTATGTACACGATTAGTTCGTCGTCGTGGTTGTTGTTGTTGGGAATCTAACGAAGTACTAACACCAAGATTCAAGGAATCGTTAGCTGTGATTGATGGGACAATATCTATTCAAAAAAAAAAAGAACCAATGATTAATAGACTGGTTTCTTTTATGTTTTTTTTCTTACTGTCAGTATCAGCAGATGTAAATCTCGATCGTACGCGACGTGATCCAGCAGATGAAGAAGATGCGTCAACAGTCGTCTCAACGATATCCTATTAATAATATATTTATATGTATATACATATATATATATATTAAGGGAAAGAGAATGAGTGTGTTACATAGAACAGGCGAAGAGCGAGAAAAAAAAATCTATACAGGCACACGCATATATAGAATACCAAATTATTACATGCATATATACTCTGCACTGATTCATAGACTGCGATGTAGAATAAAGAAAGAAAAAAAAAAAAAGACATCGTCGCAAAAAAAGAAAAGAAAGAGAACATAAAGAAAAAAAAAATTATGATAACAAAATCGAGTATTACTAAACGATTCAATGTTAAAATTATTCTTTATAAAAATTTTGTTAGAGCTACGTAAAAGAATATTCATCATTTTTCATTTCTCTTTTTATTTCTCAAGGTTAATAATTGAAAGCTTATGTCCTTTGGTAATCTTAGTCTATTGTATAAATAAACAAAAAGAGGGAGAGAGAGAGGGAGAGAGAGAAAAAAAAAAACTAAATGAATAAACAACATTAGATATTTCTCTTTCTATATATAGAATTTAATTTTACCTCATTTCCTCCACTTGCTCTTCTTGCTTTTTCTTTTTTCTCTTCAATAACTCGTTGTAAACGTTCAGTTTCAATATCATGTTCAGCAATTAATGATGGTGTTGATGGTGCACCTATTTTATTATTTGATAATGGTATATTTGATGTTGATTCAATAGTATTTGTTAATGGTTGTGGAATTGTTACTGATGATGATGATGTTGATGATGTTTCAGACATAATAGTTGGTTGATTTTTAATTTGTTGTTCAGCTGCTTTAATATCTTCAACAGTAACACTTTGAGTTGATCGTCGTTCTCGTCGTGCTTGTGCTGAACGATGTTTACGTTGTGCTTCAGCTTCTTCATCACGACTTGGTGGAACATTTGAACGTCGTTTTCCACCAGTTGAATCATCAAGTGTATTTGCTGATGTTACTGTTACATTTGTTGTTGGTGTTGATGTTACTGATGGAATAGATGTTGTTACACTAACAAGTGTTGATGGTGCTACTGATGTTGGTTCATTAACACCAGCACCTGATCGACGACGAACATATGGACCTGTATTATTTGTTGTTGATAATGAACCATCACCTACTGTTCGATCAGTTGTACCCCATCTAAATTTGTAGGTTTTTTTTGTATTTAGTAATATAAGAAAAGAAAAAAAAAACGAAGAAAGAAAATTTTCAGAAGGTAAAAAAGAAAAACATGCATTAAAAGAGATTTTGTTGATTTTCTTTTTTGTATATTTTCCGATTTAAATTTGTTTTCTACGTGTCTAGTCTGTGCAGAAAAAAAGAAAAAAAAAAAGAAATGATTAGGTTATGCGTATGATTTGTGAAAAATTTGGTTAGATGATGTGTTGATTGGTTACAGGCTTTGAGAGAAGAATTTGTCAAAAAAAAGAAAAAAGAATACCTTCTCGGTGGTACTTCTGGCTGTGTCTCACTAAAACTAGAATAATAAAATAGTATGATCTAACAAAACTAACTCATATATATGTATATATATGACATAAAACCAATTGAATTAATTTAATATGTTTAAATAAATTCAAAAAAACTAAATCTTTAAATTACCTTCGATTTATTTTAGAATCTGATGGTTGTGTAGGAGATGGAGTTACATTTGTTGTTGAATTCTCCTATTTAAATACAAAAAAAAAGAAAAAAACTTTTTTAAATTAAAATAGTTCAATTTATTTTTCTTAATTTAAAGATTGTTTATCTACATGCATTGTTAAGTTGTCATGCAAAACATTCAAATATATATATTTTTTTCTAAAATTCGTTTGTTGTATATCTTACACGACTGGATAAATCATTATTATTATTAGTATTATTATTTGTTGTTAATGATTGAAGTGGATTTGTAAATGTTCGTTGAGAATTTGTTAATGAATATTTATTTGCTGATAAAAATGTTGGTCGTGTTGATGTAGTCGATAAATTAGATACTGTTTTATCATGAGTTTGTTTTGTTCGTTGATCATTTGAAGATATATTTGATTTATTTAAATCATTATTTGTTGAATTAGTTGATGTTGATATATTTGATTGCTATGAGAATAAATAAAATAAAGCTTTTTCATGCACAAACAATAAATGCATTCATATACATTCGATAGTTTCCTTTTAAATGAGTCATCTCTACATTAGCTTACCTCATCTTGATTTGTTTTTAAATATCGATTACTTAAATCATGTAATGATCGTTGAAGATTACTTAATTTTTCCTAAAATTAATGAAAATAAACAAATTATTTTTGTTTTTTTTTTGTAATTATTATTTAATAATTTAAAATAAAAATCGAACCTTTATACTAGGTGAACAATTGGATAAATTCTCATCTACAGATGTAGGATTTACTGATA